CCCCTTCCCCTTCCACCCCTATTTCACCACTGTCTGTCTGTCTCCCTCTGTTTTTCTTTTCTACTTCAGTGGGTGCTTTAAAGAAAGGCTTTTCTTTCTGATAAGAAGAAATGTGGGAAGAAACCCCCCTTAAGAAAGTATCCTATGAGACCATGATACTTAGAGCTGCTGCAGTCATCTTTATGATCACACAGGAAAATACCACCAGCCCTTGAGGATGCAAGAGCAGACAGCTGGAAATACCGGAGGTATTGGTGACATCACTGAACCAACTCTGGGACTGCCCTACACTCCAATTTGTAATGGGATAATGAATATCCTCCTTGTTTAAGCCATGGTTATTTATGTTTTCCATTGTTTGCAGCCAAAAAAAAAACCCCTCTTATAAAGATGAGGGTAGCAATGGAGAGAAGAATATGATGCTAGGTTTTAACTTAGCACTTGGGTGCAGGGCGATGTTGTTCACTCAGACTGGGATGTCCAGAACAGAAGAGGGTTTGGCAGGAAGCAGGTGAGGGTAGGAAATTGAGAGCTCCACTGTGAATATGCTGTTTGAGATGTCTAATGGGCTCTCAAGTGGGGATATCAAGAAGGCAAACAGACATATGAGTCTGAAGTTCAGAGAGAAGTCCAAAATGGGTTACGCATCTGAGAGTCATCAGGATATCTGTGACATCCATCTTTGTTTGTTTTTGTGGTCCTTGGGATTGGACCCAGGGCCTTTCATGTCCTAGGCAAGTGCTGTGTCACTGAGACACCCCCAGATATATCCATTTCTTTTTATCCTTTTCTTTCACTGTTGCATGAGAATTTATACACTTTGGTTCTACTTCCCCCCCCCCTTTATACTGGGGATTAAACCCAGAGGCACTTAACCACTGAGTTACATCCCCAGCCCTTCCTTTATTTTTTATTTCGAGACAGGGTCTCGCTAATTTGCTTAGGGTCTCATTAGGTATTTAGGCTGGCTTTGAACTTTTGACCCTTCTGCCTTAGCCTCCAACATTGCTGGGATTACAGGCATGTACCACCATACCCAGCAGTTCTATTTCTTTTTGAATAATTCTAGAAGTGTTACAATAACTTTTTATTATGGACATTTAAACACATACCCCAAAGTGAAAGTAATACAATAAAATTCTATATACTTATCGCTGAGATTCAACAAGTACTCCTTCAGGGAGAAAATTTGTAAAAGAAAATAAGAATACTTGGGATTGGGCTGTGGGAATCTCTGTTTAAGGTAAGCTACCAGAGATCACCAAGAAGGAGTGTCCAGTGGCTGGGGCTGAAGCTCAGTGGCAGAATACTTGCCTAGCATGTATGAGGCACTGGGTTTGATCCTTAGCACCATATAAAAATAAACAAATTTTAAAAAGGCATTCTGTCCATCTATAACTACAAAAAAGGAGGAGGAGGAGGAGGAGGAAGAGGAGGAGGAGGAGGAGGAGAGGTCATGACAAAAACAAGGAGCCATGAATAAAGAATTTCAGGGGCTAGGGTTGTAGCTCAGTGGTAGAATGCCTGCCTCACACACATGATACTCAGTACCACATAAAAAAATAAATTTTTGATACTCACATACATGATACTCAGGACCACATAAAAAATAAATAAAAATTGTATCCATCTACAACTAAAAAAAAATTTTAAAAAAAAGAATTTCAAGGAAAAATGATGTTCTACCATGTCAAACAATGTTGTGAGAAGCTAAGATAAAGATGTAGACACATTCTTTGGAGATTTGGTAAGACTGAGATCACTAAAGACCCTGGATAGAACATCTGAGTGGAGCATGTGAGCCAAGGCTTCTGGCAAGTGTTGAGGAGTGAAGATGGTGACAGTAGGGACACCCACTCTCAATGGTTATTATATAAGAAGGAGGACGACTGGTAGAAGTTCCAATCAAGACAAACTTAAGGTTGTACAAAACTACAGCTCCACCTGTCCAAGATGGAGGTGGTGAAGACAGTTTAAACTTCAAGAACCTTGCTGCTCTGATCCAAGGTGAAAATGAGACTATGGGAAGGGGTTAGAATGATGGAGGTAACAGCAGGTTAGGAAAGAGGGAGAGAGAACCAATGGATATCCACATGGAGTAGATGGACTGAGATGTGATTTGATGGGAAGAGTGAAGAAACACTCTACATTCTGTACATGCATGTGAATGTCTAAACAGTTTGGACCATTACCTTCATGGTCACAGAGCTTGTGGCCCTAATTCAAGAGATCTGTATACATCCTGAGAGGACAAACCCACACCCACACCGAAACCCACAACCCCCCCCCCCCACACACACACACACAAACATACATACACAATCAGAAGCAGCATCAGCATTCTACTCACATGCCTTGTACATTTCTTCCTGCCTCCTGTTTCTCCATTTTCCCAGCTAGAGGGGACTGCTTAGGGGTTGTAAACTCCTAGCTCAGGAGTCAGGGTAATATAAACCAGTGTAATGTGGGTTGAGTGTTTATCATTTTCAGTGTCAGAGAGGTATCAAAAGAGAAAAGGACTGGTGAATTGGATAGGGTAGGAGTTTATCTCCTACCCTAAGAAGATAACCACTATCAACTCCATTTGTTACTGTACTGGTTTCCTATTGCTGCTGCAATGAATTACTACATACTTAGTGCCTAAAACAACAAAAATTTATTATGTTACAGTGATGAAGATCAAAAGTCCAAAATAGGTCTATGGAGTTAAAATAAGGGTGTTAGAAGGGAAGATTCTAGGGAAGACTCTGTCCCTTGCCTTCCATCTTCTACCATGGCCCATCTTTAAAGCGAACAATCATGTCATTCCAGTCTCTGCATCTGACCTCTTCTGATTCTGACCGTTATGCTTCTCTCTTTAACTAATAAGGACACTTGTGAACAGTGGGTCCACCAGGATGCTTTAAACTAATCTCACCATCTCAAGATTCTCACCTTCATCTCATCTGCAAAATATCTCTTCCTATAAGGAAACATAGTAACAGGTTCCAGGAATTAGTATGTGTCTTGGAAGTGGGGTGCACCATTCTGCTATTGCAGTTGATAAATGGGAATGCAGGTTTGGTAGGACCAGAGGCTCCAGTTCTTTTCAAGATAGGCTGGACATCAGGGATTTGATATGAATACAGAAAAAAGTTAACACAGTTGGCCTGAGACTGATGTCCTTAGAAAGAAGGATGGTTCATTGTGCTTTTCTTCTAGGAGTCTGGAATTTTGGTATATGCTAGACAGAGGTGTCTCTGTAACAAAACCTTTTTTAAAAAATCTTGACTACTGAGTCTCTACTGGGTTTCCTTAGGCAGAATCACTGCAGGAAGATGTTACTGCATTTATATTTTGGAGGAAGAGTATGCTTTGTGTGAGCCTGATGGGAGAGAGAGGACACAGATTCCTGACTCTGTCTGCATCTTTCCTTTATGATCCAGTTGTTCATCCTTACTACATTGCTGTAATAAACTTTTGCTGTGAGCACAACTATACATGGGGTCCTGTGAGTTCTTCCAGTGAATATCCTAACATGAGGGTGGTTTAGGGTATCCTTCAACACAGTAATTCCTGATCTTCTCCTATTCTAAATGCTATGGTGATTAACAACATAAAGGCCAGAAAAAAACTTTTCTGAGAGGGAACTGTGTCTCTAAGTTGCCAAGCTTCAACTTCTGTCTTCTTAAAGTTCTATCCTCATTTTAGCCCTACCATAGGTCAAACATATTAAGAGTTTTGCCTGAGATAATGCAGGTCTCACTGTGTTCATTCTGCTGGGATGGAGTACAGAAGGAGGAAAGAGGGTGAAGGAGAGCCTGCAAGATCTGTGTCCCGTGATCACCAATCCTCTGCAGAGGTCATGACCCCACTTCCCAAGGAGCCCTCCTATGAGCCCTTGTTGGCTTTTTTTTTTTTTTTTTATGAAGAAGACTTCTTTTCCCAACTAGATGGCAAGTCCACTGCGAAGACAGACTTTGTCATATTTCACTGTATTCTTTTCTACGCCTTGCCTAAGTCAAATGCCAATTAACTATTTTGTTGATAGAAAGTTTCTGTCACTAGTTATGGGATTGTGTTGCATTGTCAGACAGCCCTGGCCCTGGGAAAACAGGATAGGAAGAAAGGCAGTAATCGTTTGTCCTGGAAGACGGATTCTTAAGAACCAGCACATGTACCCATGTGCTTGAGGAAATTCCCCAATGGCGAGAGACAGAAAAATGTAATGCAAGTCAGGGAAAGCAGAAATCACTTGAAAAGACGTGACCTTGTAAAAATGGAAATGAAGTGTACAAAGTAGGAATGGCTTCTGCTGAAAATGCTAAGGTATCAGTGAGATTAAGTCACTTGCCCAAGGTCACACAGCACAATCTGAATAAGATTCCAGGTCCAGAGGGCTTCAGGTCCAGCGCTCCAGGATTCTGGAGGCCACAGTGATTGCTCACCAATAGTGACCACGCTAATGAAGGGGCCGCTGATCAGCTGGCGGCCGGAAGGCCTCAGGAGATTCCCCAGGGTCGATCCTCGCTGACAGGATGCGGGTTCGGTGCTGCGGGAAAGTCCAAGGACTGGGTACCCTGGGACTCAGGCTGTGCAGCTCCAATCCTGGGCCTCCCATAAGTGTGGGCCAAGGCCCGTCGTCACCACCGGGACCAGCAGGCGGCGTGCGACTAGAAGGGGTACAGCTGAAAGGAGCCTCCAGGGAGGCGGGGCGGAAAGGGCCTTGGCGATTTTGATTGCCGTCTGCAGCCAGGAAGATTTCACCCCTTACACCTAAGTCAGAACAGCTGAACGAGCGGCGCCCTCATGACGCAGGTGCAAGCGAGACGCGCAGTGTCACCGCACCCTGCATCCCTGCGCGTGTTCTCTGGAGCCTGGGGTGTCAGCTTAGAACGGGAATCGAAGGGTTAAAGTATGGGCGCTAGTTCTAACCCAAATCTGACAGGTGAGGTACCCAGGAATGGCAAGGGGCGGGCACCCGGCGTAGTCCCACCTTCGGGACCGCCTACCCTATGAGGGCGTGGCCTCTGGGTCACCCAGCCCCTAGTGGGCGAGCGGAACTCGCGGGCCCCGCCCCCTGCCTATAAGAGCGGTGCGGCACTGCAGCTAGCGCAGTTCTCACTGAGACCCGTCACCCCGACTCTACGTGAGACGCACCACCCGGACTCACCATGGTGAGTGGGCCTCGCCGGGATTGCGCCCGTCCTGTCCCCTAATTGTCTTTCTCCTTCTAGGCAACTTTCCTCCAGGGATACTTGGGACCCTACGCCCAGCGTTCCGGGTCTCAAGGAGGTACAAGGGTTTTGCACTATCCCCAGCCCCCCTCCGGGGGTGACTTTGGCCTGGTGTGTTGACCACCTTCAGAGGCTGCAGATGGGGGGGCGGCCGGGTGGGATTCTCCACTAGCAGAGAGGAGCCCTCCTAGCAATGCCCTCCTGTCTCCCCAATCGTTTGTGCCCCAATCCTCCTGAAGGGAGCCAAAAGGTCCTTTCCACCGTGACCCGCTTGGCTGCCCCTGCCCCCAATCCCCCCCCCCCCATCCCCAGTCGCTGCAACTGACAGAACACGTGCTTGGCTCAAGAAGGTGGAAGGGGTCAAGTTACTTGGTGCCGCATCCCCTTTTCCTACCTGGGTGCATCCTCGCACCCACAACCCCCTCCGGTGACTCAGCACCCCGCTTCTGAGCCGGGAGGGGTGGCGGGAATGGGGTTCGGCCTCTTGAGGCGAGCCAGCCTCTCTCCTGCGGGTGCGCTGAGGACTGGCAGAGACAGCTGGCATTGAGCGACAGCCCAGACAGAGGCCAGGTTGGGGGGAGGGGAAAGCTGTGTGTGTGTGGGGGGGGGGTGGTATTTATAGCCTAGGAGCGGGGGCCGAAACTCAATCCTCACTAGGAAGTAACTGGAAAGACTCCTGCGGGAAAGCGGATGTAGGGCCTGGGTACAGGATGGCGCTCACCCTGCGTGGGGCAAGGCGGGTTACCACTGGGGCCTCACCACAGGTTCCGCTTCCTTTTCTGGGTATCTGGAAACTGTCACCCCGCCATTTCGTTGTGGAAGGGAGGTGAGCGAATTTGGTGCTGCAAGGGTTAAATTTCGGACACTTAATGGCAATACCTAAGGCATCGAATGCCCCAGTGCCCACAACCCTAATTGCCCGCCCTTACTGTCTATGCTCACCAGCATTATCGCTGCTATTTCCGTGCGGGCTGTCGCGGTGGATGAAGGTGGTGAAGACATGCAGAGTGCGGGGGTGGATGTGGGGAGAGGAGCCAGATGGGATTGATCCCCAAGGCCAGATGGGATTTAAAGGTGGGGAGAGAGGGCATTTTGATGACTAGGGTGGTCAGCTGATCCAAAGGCTGAAAGACCTCTGCTTCCACCATAAAGAAGGGGAAAGAAAGGGTTATAGGAAATTCAAGTTCCTCCCGAAAGCAAAATATTAAGTGGGGAGGCCTCTGGCTAACTCTGGAAAACCTGGAGAAGCGGGTTATGGTTAGCAGGGATTGGGAGAAGCTGCCGCCTCTGCTGGTCTCATGCACATGCCCTTTCTGTCCTCAGTGTCCTGTCAATGTGACAGGGTCATGCTGAGCCATAGCTCTCACTTGACAAATTTCCCACTGTGAAATAGACTCAGGAGTTGCCTGCCCTCCCTGGTACCTCCAACTAGGGAGTCCTATGTAGGAGATCCTGGGGAGGCTGCCAGCCTAAGCCTCCCTTCTTGCCTACTGAATCATCCCAGCTGGTTATAGGATGGGAGAGAGGAACAGGAGGTGAGGACTCGTGGATGTGGCATTTACGATGTGCCTACCCCTCTCTTTATCCCTCTAGCGTGAATGTATCTCAGTCCATGTGGGGCAAGCAGGTGTCCAGATGGGCAATGCCTGCTGGGAGCTCTACTGCCTGGAACATGGGATTCAGCCTGATGGCCAAATGCCCAGTGACAAGACTATTGGTGGAGGGGACGACTCCTTCACCACCTTCTTCTGTGAAACTGGTGCTGGAAAACATGTGCCCAGGGCCGTTTTTGTGGACCTGGAGCCAACTGTAATTGGTGAGTAGAGGGGGCAAATTTGAGGAAAGTGAAGAGTGACTGACAGAGGGTGTCTAGAGTTGACTTTCCTGGTCCTGAAAACTCATCCCTATTTGAAGCTAAAGAAGGCAAGCTGACCTCAGGCAGGCGGGGCTGTAGCAGGTCTGAGTTTCTCTCACACTATGGTATCTCAGGCTGGCAGAAGGATGAGCTAGCTCTTCTCTATATCTGGCCACAACTACCACCCAAGGGGAAGGTCCCTGCAGAATGCAGCCTTGTGGTTTTGTTCCAACAATGTGGTTTATCCCTTTCCAGATGAGATCCGAAATGGCCCATACCGACAGCTCTTCCACCCAGAGCAGCTCATCACTGGGAAAGAGGATGCTGCTAACAACTATGCCCGTGGTCACTACACCATTGGCAAGGAAATCATTGACCCTGTCCTCGACCGGATCCGCAAGCTGGTAAGAATTTGTCATGGAAGGGAGGGAGTTTTTTTCATCCATTTCAGAAAATATGTGTTGCAGAATGTGAGCTTCTATGGAATACAGATTGGTCTTTTCCTTGACTTCTCAAGATACTTTAGGCTACATATAGCTACAAGAGAGAGTTCCTTGGGTCCTTCCCCTACTTATACTGCTCTCTTTCTTGCCTTCCAGTCTGACCAGTGCACAGGACTTCAAGGCTTCCTGGTATTCCACAGCTTTGGAGGGGGCACCGGCTCTGGCTTCACCTCCCTCCTGATGGAGCGGCTCTCTGTGGACTATGGCAAGAAATCCAAGCTGGAGTTCTCCATCTACCCAGCCCCTCAGGTGTCCACAGCTGTGGTGGAGCCCTACAACTCCATCCTGACCACCCACACCACCCTGGAGCACTCAGACTGTGCCTTCATGGTGGACAACGAGGCCATCTATGACATCTGCCGCCGCAACCTGGACATCGAGCGCCCAACCTACACCAACCTCAACCGCCTCATCAGCCAAATCGTGTCCTCCATCACAGCTTCCCTGCGTTTTGATGGGGCCCTCAACGTGGACCTGACGGAGTTCCAGACCAACCTGGTGCCCTACCCGCGCATCCACTTCCCCCTGGCCACCTATGCGCCAGTCATCTCTGCAGAGAAGGCCTACCACGAGCAGCTGTCAGTGGCAGAAATCACCAATGCCTGCTTTGAGCCTGCCAACCAGATGGTGAAGTGTGACCCCCGGCATGGCAAGTACATGGCCTGCTGCCTGCTGTACCGTGGAGACGTGGTGCCCAAAGATGTCAATGCTGCCATTGCTGCCATCAAGACCAAGCGCAGCATCCAGTTTGTGGACTGGTGCCCCACAGGCTTCAAGGTTGGCATCAACTATCAGCCTCCCACTGTGGTGCCTGGGGGTGACCTGGCCAAGGTGCAGCGTGCTGTGTGCATGCTGAGCAACACGACCGCCATCGCCGAGGCCTGGGCCCGCCTGGACCACAAGTTCGACCTGATGTATGCCAAGAGGGCGTTTGTGCACTGGTATGTGGGTGAGGGCATGGAAGAGGGTGAGTTCTCTGAGGCTCGAGAGGATATGGCTGCCCTGGAGAAGGATTACGAGGAGGTGGGCATCGACTCCTATGAGGATGAGGATGAAGGAGAAGAATAGAACAGCTGTCTGGAGCCTCCTTACTATGTTTATTGCAAAATCCTTTCAAAATAAAGTTTCCTTGCACGGTTTCTTGTCCCCTCTGTGAATACTTGAGCTTCTGCTGCCTTCCCCTGTGTGCTGCTGCTGCTACTGCTGCCACTGCTGCCCTCACTATTTGCTGCTCATGACACTTTTCCCTTCCATGGCTGAAGGTGAGACTTGCCAAGGGGCCCTTTCCAGGCCCAGGAATCATGACCCCAGGGACCCTGATATTAGGTCCTAGGGGGATCCAAAAATAGGGAGGAAATGACGACCAAATCCCCCTGGACCTGTCTATCCTGTCACAAACTATTGAAGGATATGAGTCTTCACTTCCTTACAAGTAGGAGTTTAAATCCAGTAGTTTCTGTGTTGGAGAATGGACTGCCACCCTATTATTCCTGCTGCTTCTGCATCCACCAACTCTGGAAGCAAGACTTGGGCAAGGCTTTGCTGTGCATTATTAGAGTTTGGGAATGGGGCTGAGCTGGCCCGAAGTTCCCAGGCATGGAGTCACATCATAAGCTTGGGGGGTGGGAGGGAACAAGGGCGATTTGGAGTTGTTTTTGCCATTGCACTTCTCAGCAGCTTTGCATAGCTTACTGTCTGTCTTGCTTTGCTGGAGCTAGGGCTGTGCCATTAAAAGTCAGGTTGTCTCCCTGTTTGTGCTTTCTTTCAGCCTCGGCCTAACACTAGCTGGTGGGAGCCTCCTGCCAGGGCCCTGGGGGAAAATTCAAACTTTGCTAATAGGCACCCCAGGACCCACACTGACGTCAGTATGTGGCGGTGGGCATGGTGGGGGAGGAAGCTTCAATCTCAGGAGCAGGAGATGCCAACCTGCCCTTGCCGCCTCTCCCTGGTGATTCAGGGACACTGTGCCCTTCCCTGGGGAACAGGTTTTAAGCCCAGCTAAGGGCAGGGCCCCTGTTTACTCAGCAGACCAGACAGGAAGTGGCTGCTGAATACTGCCACACCACACTAGTCTCATTAATTATTAACTACTACGTGTGAGCTAGGAAAATCAGGGAGATGTGGCCAAAATGGTTGCCAGCTCCACTCCCCTTGCCCCAGGCTGAGGATGGGAGACCAGTTATGTAGCTGTCTGAAAGCTTCCCCAGGTGTCTCCACCCAGAGGCTCTTGGCCTGGCAAACCGGCTGGGCTACTTTAACTAAGTAACCCACCCCTGGGAGTGAAAGAAGAAAAGAAATAGTTGAGTGTGCTTTTAGGGGTGCTGATCCCAGTTCTTAGCAAAGGCAGAAACTAGCTCAAGTCAGAGCTTTAATTTTACGACTAAAACAAGCTAGGAAAAAAACTACCCACATATCAGAAAAGGACACTTGCCTCCTGTTAAATAATACAGAAACACCTTTGCTGACTACACCATTACCTCTTTCCAGGCTGTTCCCTTGGAACTGGGCAACCAGACTCTGGGCCCCTTGCAACTCTTCTCTGCCTCTAGACACACTGGGAATAAGATCCACACCAACCTGTTTTCACTTTATTTTCCTGTTTATACATTCTCCTGCTTCCAGATTTGAAAGCAGAATATGATGTGAGCCCAGCAGTCCAGCTCAGAGTTGTGCGCCATATTTTTCTCTGTTTCACTTTCTCCCCCAGCCTCACCACCGGTCAGGCCCCTTGCCTATGTACTGAGGTAAAAGAGCAGAGAGAAGACTGAGATAACGATCCTCATCCCTGGTACCCAACTGTCAAGAGCAGCCCTGGATAGAAAGGAAGAACTTCCAATGAGGAATAAGAGCCTCTTTCCAAGGCACATGGAGCCATCTTAATGTGGCCACTGGTTAGTTCAGATTTGAGTGGTGTGCTGGCCTGGAGCTGGGGGTTGCATTGCCTCCAATTGACTGAGGAGGAGAGGAATGTGAGGGCGTTGCTGCAGGTCCACAGTCATCATGGAGGCCAGCAGCTGTCGAAGTGCTGAAGAATGCCTGTGGAGGGAGGAGGGCAAGGTGAAGGGAGGGCATCTAGCCCCCTTGCTAAGGTCCAACTCAGCTTACCCTGGGGAAGTCTGAAATGCTTGGTGTTCCTCTAAGTGCTCACCTGGGGCTTTGTGGGATGCTGAGTTGGTTCTGCACAGCAAGGGCCACACTGTCACCTTTCTGAAACACCATGTCATAAGGGCCTTCCCCAAACATCATGGCATAAAGCACACAACCTAGGGACTGAGCACAATGTGGTTAGTCCCTGGAAGGGAACTGATGGAAGTGACATCTCTCCCCTTCTGTGGTGAAAAAAGACTACAAAAGCTAAAAAGAATATTCCAACCTGAGCCAGTGGCACTCCCAGGGCCCAGAGAAACTGCCAGTTAGCCAGAGGCCTCTGCAGTCCTTGCTGAGATACTGCCTTCAGCACTGATAATGAGCAGTAACTACCCAGCTCAGTGTGAGGGATTATACCACTTCCTGAGCAACTGAGTATAGTATCAGTGACAGTTACCAAGAAGGAAATTGAGGGGTATGGAGACATACTGTGGTTCCTGGGGCTTCATGCAACAGAAACCAAACACTTTCTACTGCCCCTCCCCACTCCACAGCAGGTACAGAGTTGCACCCCTCCCACCCAGAGTCCCAGCCAGTTGCTTCTCACCCAGACATCAGTCCGTTCATCGATGACACAGTGGCTCTGCACAGAGAAGAGCTCCGGGGCCCGGTAGGAGATGGTGCACCGCTGGGCTGCCCAGTCCTGGAACAGTGGTCCCAGAGCTTAAAAGTGGGGCACAGGCCACAGTAATGTGACTGAATTTGGGCATGCACCACAAGGAATTGGGAATGGGAAACAGGTGGGCAAAGGAACCTAGAGACTTACCTGTAGGGTCAGAGCCTGGCGGGAACCCTCCACTTGGATACATGCTTGATTCATGGAACCCAAGTCCATTAAAACTGGCTGTCCCTCATCTCCAAGCAAGATATTGGTGGGCTTCAGGTCCCTGGAGTGAAGTGAAAATGACCAATAAGCATTCCTGGACAGGAAGACTTGGAATCCCAGGGAGCAAAAATATCAAGGGGGCTTTCCTTGGGAGGAGAGTGGAGACCTCCTGGTTGTCTTAGTGAGGTTCTTCCTCTTAGCTCAGCATGTACCTGGGGCTCTCCCACTGACCTGTGGGCATAACCTTTGGTATGAATGGCCTCAAGGCCTCTGCAGATACCCAACAGCAGCCGAAGGATTTGATCCTCAGTCAGGAAGTTGCCTTTGTCTTTCAGCCTTTCTATCTCATTCCACAGCGTACCTCTCTGCAACACAAGTTTCCTCAGTTGAGATTTTCTGAAGTCTCTGTTCCCTGGGCCTAATCCCTGTCCTGTGTGTCAAAGCCCACCAATCCTTTCATCACACATACCTTGAAACCCACAGTCCCACTTAGACTCCTTTAAACTCCAAATCCAAAGTGGTCAAACCCTGGACATGGCTTCTGTTTCCCAACATGCTTGACTGCTCACAGTCTTCAGTAGGTATCTGCTGCAACCCCCTCCATAACCAAGAGACTTTCTGACCTTGAAGAAAGGTAGCAGCAGCCAGGCCTCATGCTTAGCACCCCGCTCTCTCAGACAGTAAGCCACGAGGCGAAGAATGTTGGGGTGGTGGAAGAGGCGATGCATGTCTGCTTCCCGCTGAGCCTCCTCCCGGTCCTGCTGCTCGTGACACAGGATTCGCTTCAGGGCGTAGAAGTGTCCGTCATGTAACCCCTCCACTAGGTCCACATAGCTGAACCCACTGTGGGCCAAAGGGGTCAGTGAAGGACCATGATCATCTCCCACACAGCTTGGACCCAGAGGAATTCCCTTGGGGAGGGGTGCCTCTCTCATTGCGTAGAAACCCTCCCAAGATGTGGCTCTAAGAGAAGTGTGAATGAGTTCCTCAGGAGCAGGAACACAAAAATTGTTAAGGTCCTGTGTTCCTAACAATGTTCTGCACATGATAGAAGCTCAATAAATATAAAGTAATAGCCAACATGTATATCAAGTTCTTATGAACTGGGTGGGACACCTATATACATTATCTAATTTAATCCTCACAATTACCTCAGTGAGGTATGATAATCATCTCCTTTAGGTAGATGAAGAAACCATGGCTCACCAGGGTCACACAAGGTGGATCTAGAAGGCCTGGGTCCAGAATCCACTTTCTTGACCCATTCAGCTAAGGCTCAGTCAGATGAGGTAGATAGGGATAAAATCCTTGTGCCCCTATCATGTGCAGACCCTATGTAGTCCCTCAGTGACCATAACCCTGGGGGCAAGCTAAGTGATTTCCAAACACTCACCCCTCCCCCAGTTTCTGGATGAAGAGGTAACGCTTATTGTCAATGATGACAGTTCCACGAGAGCAGACACACAGGGCGTGTCCCATAATGTCTCAGTCATCCTTCTCAAGGACAGACTTTGGCTGCCAAAAGGTTCGTCCAGAGTGAATGGGCTCTTCTAGGTGATGGCCTGGGGGCCCAGCGGATCATGCTGGAAAGAAATCGACCGCAGGTCGCGGGTCCGGCATAATCCAGATGGCCCTGAAGTACAATTGCGGACAGCTCAGGCCCAGGTCTTGGAACTTAGATTCCCGTCTAAAGAAAACAGACCCTGGCGACAGCAGCTCCAGAAGGCTGAGTCAGGTGCCCTAAAGCCTCTGGCCACGCAGCGACTACCAGGTCGCTTCCTCCAACCCCGGCCCACCTTTGGACGGATCCCGCTCCCAAGCTCTTGGGGCCGCAAAGGCAAGGCACAGGGTAGCTCCCGAGGAAGTGCGAGGCTCGGGTCCACCTCCGGCAGAGCCCACCCCGGGGTGCGGAGCCCAGGGTCTGCCAGCCGCAACTCCCCACTGACCTGGCTCGGGCCGGAGCGAAGCACCAGGGACCGGAAGTAACGATTACATCATCAGTCCGCGCCGGAGTAACGGTCCACCGTATCTTAGCAACTGCTGAGCATCCGGAGGATGTGAGGGCGCGGAGCTGAAAGGCCCCGGACCGCACAGACCGACGGGTCCCAGGACCCGGGTGAGGGTTCTCCACGTGGCCTTCAGTAGGGGTCAAGACACAGGCACTTGCGCCAAAGGGGGGCAAAGCTGGGCTCTGCCCGAGGCCCCCAGGACCTCCATCTCCCAATGTCGGAGGTAGGGGGCCTCACACCTCCGCGCGCTGGGGGAGAATGTGGCCTACTATGTATGGTTCAGCCCAGAGAGGGATCCAGGGAGGGGCGGGTGCTGGTGGCCCGACCCCCTGGAGTTCTTGTCCTGTCCAACCTTAAGGACTGTGGCATGTATCCTACTACCCTAGAGTCAGTGATTAAGAGCTCAGACTGGAAGCAGACAGTCAGTTTCTAAATCCAGTCCTAATAGCCTCCTATCTGCATGACCTCTGGCAAATGACAGCCTCTCAGATCCTCACTTTTCCCTAGCTGTAAAACAGATATAATGATACCTAAGGTTAAGTGTATGAACTATGAGGTCAAACTGCATAATCCAATCCCAATTCTACTAAACTAGTTGCATGACCTTGGATGGGCTACTTATTTCCATCCTCCAGTTTCTTCATCTGTAAAATGAAAATAATTATTTCACGGAGTTGTTTGAGATATAAAGTGCTTAGCCCAATATCTGACACATAGTCCTCAAGTATCAATAAAGAGCAATAATAATCATTGCTTATTACCCTGGTTCTCACACCTCAGGTTTGGAACTGTGAGGCAGAAGGAATAGAAATTCACAAAGTACAAGCCTTGGCACCAAGCAGTTGTTTGTGACATCTCTTGTCTAGACAAGCAGGGGTAAGTTGGAGAGTGCCCTTCCGAAGAAATTATAATGGCTCTATTTGCTCAATATGGTCTTTTGCTGAAACGGGGCTCTCTACGGGAATGGTCCGTCTTGTAACTTTCGGTTCCCTGCTTCCACATCCCTGGTCACCATGGAGATTTTCCTAATGGGTTCCTTGATTCTGACATCCATTAATCTAGATTTAACTTGTTATATGTCAAGCCCTGTGCCAGACACCGAGGATCCAACGACAAGACACTCCTGCTCTCAGGGAACTCGGTCCAATAAAGCAGTGCTTCTCAATCTTGAATATGTTTAGGATAGCCTGGGAATCTTGTTAAAATACAAATTCTGATTCTATAGGTCTAAGGTAGGACCTGAGATTCTGCATTTCTAACAAGCTCTCAGGTGACGCTGATTAAGCTGGTTCGTGAACTGCACTTAGAGTAGTAAGATGTAGAGGATTTTTACAAACTAATAGAGTAGTGGGTGGCTGGCTGCAGGCGGGGTACAAAGTCCCGGGTAACCTCCTGGAAACTTGAGGTGGTCTCCGCCCCTTGCTTGCTGAGGTTCCCTCCCAGGAGTCCAACACGTGACGGTCGGACCGACGGATCAGACTAGAGGAGCCCCGTGAGCGTCATGGCTCCCGAGAAGCCGCTCTGCCTTCCCTTCCTGATGCTGCCGCTCCTGACGTTGTTGCTGCAGCAGGTAAGATGAGAGGGTTGACTGACGGATGAAAGTCAACCACCAAGCGGCCAGCAGGGCTAGTTTCATTTTCCTCCGCTTTTGGCTGACGCTGACCCTCACTCCAAACGTCTGCTGAGCACAGGCTTTTCCCCTTTGCAGGCAGACCCTCGGTCGTTCGTAGTGGATCGGGAACGTGGCCTGTTCCTCTTGGACGGGACCCCGTTCCGATACGTGTCTGGCAGCTTGCACTACTTCCGGGTACCGCGGATACTGTGGGCGGACCGGCTTTTCAAGATGCGATTGAGCGGCCTCAACGCCGTACAGCTGTAAGAAGTGCTCGCGAGAGCTACATGGGGCGGGGGCGGGATTTACTTTTCCTACCGGTTCCTTCAGATGGGTCCTGGCCTGAAGACTGGCTGAAAAGAGGCTAGAACTCCCAGACTCCTAAACCAAGGGGCGGGCCAGGACCTGCTTCCTAGTGCTGCTGGAGATTCCTGCCCGCCTGAGCCCCTAGTCCTCCCTGGCATCTCCCCATCTCGGGCCCTGTTAACCTCTTACTTTCTCAGTTACGTGCCCTGGAACTTTCATGAGCCAGAGCCTGGAGTCTATAACTTTAATGGCAGCCGCGACCTCTTTACCTTTCTGAACGAGGCAGCTATAGCAAACCTGTTGGTCATACTGAGACCAGGACCTTACATCTGTGCAGAGTGGGAGATGGTGAGTTAGTTGGAGGAGGGACAGAACAAAAGCTTTCCATGTGTTTCTAGGCTAGTCCCCTCTGCCCTCACTGTAGGGGCATGTCCAGCATTATATTCAACTCTCTCCTTTCTTACCTCCCCACTACACCCCAGGACAGCAAAACCTACATGCTTTTTTGTCTTTGTTTGTCTCAGGGGGGTCTCCCATCTTGGTTGCTTCGGAATCCTAAAATTAATCTGAGAACCTCAGATCCAGGTGAGTTGAGACAAAAGATTTAACACAGAAAAAAATCAAACAAAAAGGCGGATCATTTGCGTGCCTCAAACAGAAGAGACCATCTTAACTTGGAGATTATTCATTCAAATATTGTTTCCTTCATGCCCAGCAGGACACTAGAAACTGGCACCAGACAGACCTAGTCCCTGTGCAATAGAGGTTATAACATAGTGGAACAGACAGATCAAAAAACAAACAACAACAAAAAAATTCACCACTTGTAGATAAGGTTATTAGTTATAAACAAGGAGTTAAAGACAGTAGGTAACAGAGATTTTCTTATTTGCAGGGTAGTCAGAAAAGGTTTTTCTGAGAAGGGAACATTTTAGTTGACTTCTAGGGAAGGGAAAGCACTGGTCTTTGTATAAGAGCGAGGCAAGAATATTCATGTCTGAGGAAGGTAGATCAGCATGGTGGAGTACAGTGGGGTGAGGGAGATAGTTATATGACATGATATTGAAGACGAGACAGATAATTGGTGTAAGTCCTTATAGGACTTACGTGGGGTTCTTAGTTTATTCTCAGTAGACAGTCACGTTAAAAAAAATTAGCAAGGGATATGACATGACTTTTTTTGCTTGTTTGTTGTACCTGGGATTGAACCCAGGGGTGCTTTACCACTGAGCCACATCCTTTTTATTTTTGAGACAGGGCCTCACTAAATTGCTGAGGCTGAATTCAAACTTGCTATCCTCCTGCCTCAGCCTCCTGAGTTACTGAGATTACAAATGTGTGCCACCAAGCCCAGCAGATCTGATTTGTTTTAACATTACTTAGTCTGGATGTGTAGAGTGGATTGAGGGGAGCAAGGGTGGAGAAATCAATGGAGATATTACTGTAGTTAGAACAGAGAAGAGAGTTCCTGGATTAAGATGACTGTGGTGGAAATGGAAAGAAAGCAGAATTGAGATACACTGTGGATACAGAAATCTGTGCCTGGTTGAAATCCACTTCTTTTGTATCCCATGATATCCACTTATCTGGTCTCTGCCCTTGGTTCCCAAGGCAGTGACCACTCAATCTTACTCTCTTGTTGACAGATTTTGATTGGAACAGGATGGGTGGGGCAGTGTGAGTAGGAATGAAGCATTTGGCCAATTAAAGTGGTGATGCTATTTCCTGACACAGGGAAGGTAGAGGAGACTAGGGGAACAACTTAAGATGCCAGAGAGCTTTATGCCAAACCCAATTGTCTATAAATATATTTAAAATGATAAATTATTAATGAAACACCAACATGCAGTCCATTTTGCTCAAGAAAACCAGCAACTGGCTGAAAATTTGTTTTCCCTTTTCATTTTAAAATACATACCTGCCTTAACCTTCAGAGGATTGATATAGAGTTTTGAATTATACTTCAAACAAAAAAAGGATAAATATTGAAATAATTAAACATCTTTTATCCATTGTGAAATCCATGATTTCCTCATCCCCTTGACCAATGAATGGCCCTCAGCACAGTTGGTTGCTCTGTCCTTTGAAATACACTTATTTTTGGTACTGAGGATTGAACCCAGGGCACTTTACCACTGAGCTACATCCCCAGTCCTTTCTATATTTTGAAACAGGGTTGCTGAGGCTTGCCTCAAACTTGTGATCCTCCTGTCTTGGTCTCCTAACTTGCTGGGATTACAGGTGAATATTTACTGTATCTCCCATGATACCCACTTATCTGGTCTGTGCCCCTGCTTCCCAAAGCAGTGACCACTTAGTCTTAATCTCTTGCTTGTCCTTTTCTGTTTTCCTTTACTACAAATGCTGTAGTGTACACAGCTATCCTTGGATGCTTTTCTTTTCTCTATTATCATTCCCTAGGTGATTGCATTCATTTGTATGATGGGATTAAAATCCATCTGATAGCTGATGATCCTGAAATATGTATCTCCATAGCCAGGACCTTTCCCATGATTTCGACACATATATTCAACTGCCTATGTGCAGTCTCCATTGAGGCAAATAAAAGGCATAATGATACAATCTCTTGGTAGTGTTTTCCAAACCAGCTTTCTTAGTCTTTTTATTTCAGTTAATGGCAACTCTACTTTCCAACTGAGCAGCATAAACACTGTGGTAAATCCTTCATGCTAGTCTTTCCTGCACATCTCACATTTAATCCATCAGAAAGTCCTGTCAATTTTACCCTCAACAACATTGAATTTAACTGCTTTCTCACCACCTCTACCATTCCCTGGTCCAGAGGATCTCTCCTCAGCTGGCTTATCTTATAGCTTCCCAAGTGACTTCCTTTGTTCGCCCTCTCTCCCATATAGTCATTTCTCAATCCAGTGGCCAGTGTGATTCTATTAAAATAGATGTTTAAATACACATCATGAGATTTCTCTGCTTAACCTCTACAATAAAATTTCATCTCATTCAGAATATAAATCATGTATTTCTTAAAATGATTTACTAGGTCCTATGTAATTGGCCCCAGTCATGTCCTTCATCTGACCCTCTTCTTGTTCATGCTGCCTCAACCTCCCTGTCCTCATTGCTGTTCTTCAGACCCACCAGCCTTGGGTTGTGAGGCCTCTGCCTGAGGTCTTCCCTTGATCTCCCTGCTGAAATCACCTCAGCGGTGCTTCCTGGCCACTCTTTAAATTTTAAGTTCTCCCACTCCATTATTTTAGACCTTCTTTCCTGCTTTAGTTCTTGTTCTTGGCACTATATATTCCCTTATTTATTTCCTTAATTTATGGTCTGCCTACATCACTAGAAATTCCACAAGGGCAGATGTTTTGTCTGTTTTGTTCCTTTATGTATCCCTGGAACAGTGCTTTGTGCATACTCAGCACCCATAAATACTTGTTGAATATGTGAATGTGATTTAATATATGCTTGGATTAAAATATGTAGTACAAATTTGGCTTCCTTTATATGACACATAAAGTGTAATTAAATGGTTTAAGAATGGAACAATATCCTCCAAAATGTCTTTCATTGAATCCACCTTTGAGAGTCCCTGTCTTTTGCTTTGTCCTCAATGATAGGGATGCAACATTGAAGGAACCCTCCAGATAAGGTTCCTATTCACTAGTTGGGAAATTAGCAAGAAACAATCACAGACATAAATGTTCAATCATAATTTGTCAAGTTACTTAGAAGTATGAGATAATGTGAGAGTGTTTTAACAGGAGATCTATCCTGATCTGGGATATCAGAGGCTTTCTTGAGGACATTGATTGCACACACCTGTAATCCCAGCGACTTGAGGGTGGAGTGAGAGCATCGGAAATTTCAAGGCCAGCCTGGGCAACCTAGGAAGACCCTGTCTCAAAAACTTAGAAAGGCTGGGAATATAGTTCATGGTAGAATGAACCTGAGTTCGGTCCCCAGTACCAGAAGAAAAAATATTGAAACATGAGTTGGAGTTGGTTAGGTAAAGGAGGGTGGAGGAAAAAGTGTCAGGCAGAGGAAACACTGTGCATGAAGATCTTCAGGGTGAATCACAAAAATAACAAGCAGGAGTTGAGAATTTTAAGGCACAATGCCTAGTATAATGATCTTCCAATTACCAACTTAAAAAAATCATTTGACTGGAAGGTGCAAGTCAGATGCTCTACATTGTGAATTCCCATGCTACTTCACAGAAATCTCAGGCATAAGTGGATTACATAATAATAGTTCCAGGGGCTGGGGATGTGGCTCAAACAATAGCGCGCTTGCTGTCATGTGTGCGGCCCGGGTTCAATCCTCAGCACCACATACAAACAAAGATGTTGTGTCCGCCAATAACTATAAAAAAATAATAATAATAGTTCCATACTGTGTATTTAGCCTTTTTCATCCATGTGTTTGTTTCCTTTTTGTTTTGGTTTGGGGGTACTGGGGATTGAACTCAGGGGCACTCAACCACTGAGCCACATCCCCAGCCCCATTGTATTTTATTTAGAGACAGGATCTCATTGAGTTGCTTAGCACCTCATCGTTGCTGAAGCTGGCTTTGAACTCAGGATCCTCCTGTCTCAGCCTCCCGAGCCACTGGGATTACAGGCCTGCGCCACCACGCCTGGCTCATCCATGTATTTTTTTTTTAATATATATTTTTTAGTTGTAGTTGGACACAATACCTTTATTTTATTTATTTATTTTTATGTGGTGCTGATGATCGAACTCAGCGCCTTGCATGTGCTAGGCGAACACTCTACTGCTGAGCCACAACCCCAGCCCCTCATCCATGTATTTTTAAGAAACAATACTCTATACCCATCATGTGCAAGGTCCTGGGTTCAATCCCCAGAACCATGAAAACAAACACATGTACTTTAAAGTTTCCTATGTTTTACTTCCATTGACATGCAAATATATACGTGCTTAGGGTTGAGAGTTCTAAGAGTCACTACTTCCCAGAGTTTTTTTTGGGGGGGGGGGGCAAGTGGGATGGAACCTGCAGCCTAGAGTAAGGGCAGCACTGAAGTTGTTAGCAGGGATGCTGGGGATGGGGGCCATGGAGATGGTGGTGGCCCCTAATGAGCAGAGTGCCTCTCCTTCCTTTAGACTTCCTTGCTGCAGTGGACTCCTGGTTCAAGGTCTTGCTGCCCAAGATATATCCATTTCTCTACCACAATGGGGGCAACATCATTAGCATTCAGGTACAAGTGGGAAGTTGACTGGGCACGGAGAAGAAGGTGTAAGGTGTTTTTAACCTTCTCAACCACATAGTTCCCATTTCCCTTTCCCCTGGCAGGTTGAGAATGAATATGGTAGCTACTGGGCCTGCGACTTCAACTACATGAGACACTTGGCTGGGCTCTTCCGTGCGCTACTAGGAGACAAGATCTTGCTCTTCACCACAGATGGGCCTGACGGACTCAAATGTGGCACCCTCAAGGGACTGTTTGCTACTATAGACTTTGGGCCAGGTCTCCTGAACAAGGGTTTGCAGTGGAGTCTGGGGAAGGGGTGCCTTTTCTGTACTGTTCATCTTTTACCCTTGCTTCCTTCCTGCAGCTGACAACATGACCAAAATCTTTGCCCTGCTTCAGAAGTATGAACCCAATGGGCCATTGGTGAGGGACCAGAGGGAAGGGGAATCAAAGCAAGAATCATGGATGGTAATAGGTCCAGCTTGGTTTTCACCTCTTTCATGGCTTTTTCACTTCATATTCTAGGTGAACTCTGAATACTACACAGGCTGGCTGGATTACTGGGGTCAGAATCACTCCACACGGTCCATTGAACCTATAGCTAAAGGACTAGAAAACATGCTCAAGTTGGGAGCCAGTGTGAACATGTAACTGAAGACAATATGAACCTATTACTGGGAGATGGGGATGAAAGTTAAGATTCAGTGGGTCAGCTTTTACCCCCTCCCCCCAATTCAGGTACATGTTCCATGGAGGTACCAACTTTGGATACTGGAATGGTGAGTACAGATTGTCCCCTGGGACAGAAACAGGGAGGTAACAAGGAATTAGAATCTAAGGGCTGGATAGACTAGGATGCCTAGAAATTGGATATGCCACCACTGCCCACTCTGATGGCAAAATTCTCTGCATGAAGCTCTTTGCTTAGTGCCTATCCTCTGAATGAAAGATATGTTAATTAAATTGGTTCAACCCTAGGTGCTGATGAGAAGGGACGCTTCCTTCCAATAACTACCAGCTATGACTACGATGCACCCATATCTGAAGCAGGGGACACCACACCTAAGCTTTTTGCTCTTCGAAATGTCATTGGCAAGGTGCCCTTTTATTAATCGGGGAGAAGGTCGTGCCCAAATTGTAATGGGATCCTCCTATAAACTGGTGGTGGTTTTCTGGGCCACAGAGCTGAGTGTCCCATGGAAGCATTTCCCAATCACTCAAATGGTACCACTTGACTTACACATGAGTGAACATTACAGTGTCTAAATTAGAGAGTCTTTATGACCAAAGCCCTTCCCTGGGTCCCAGGTTAAGAACCTTGTTCTAGGGTCTTAGAATAGGGGCTGTTTCTGTGGTTTTCCTATGGCTCCTGAGAGAATTTGGGCTCAGTTCCAGGAAGTTCCCTTGGGACCTTTACCTCCCCCCAGCCACAAGATGATGCTTGGACCTTTAACTATGCACCTGGTAAGTTCCTCCCCGTCTTTTCTGATTCTATACCTTTACTTTCTAAATATCTACCTTATCCTGCCCTTGATCCAGAAACCTCCCTCTTATTCTGATTCTTGCCTCTTATTTTAACAGGATGGGGATTTGCTGGGTTTCCTAGATTTTCTGTGCCCCCAGGGGCCTATCCATTCAGTCATGCCATTGACCTTTGAGGCTGTGAAGCAGGTAAGACATATATCTACATCTGGTGGGAACAGCAAACTCTCACCAGCTATAGTGAAAAGTTCCTCCTAGCTACAATTTCCCTTTAATGTCCTTTCTTATCTCAATTTATCTTAAACTCATTCTTCCATATCCAGGACCATGGCTATATGCTGTACCGGACCTATCTTTCTTATTCCATTTTTGAGCCAACACCATTATGGGTGCCAAATAATGGAGTCCATGACCGTGCCTATGTGATGTTGGATGGGGTGAGAAACTAATTCCAGGTTAACTTGTGAGATCCAATTTCCCCCTTTCCCCAGCACCCTATAGCCTTAAGTTTTCATCTTTACCCTTTCCTACTGCCTGCTCACATCTATAGAGGGTACAGAATTATAACCTGGGATGAGGAAGAACTTGATTAAGGATGGAGTTCCAGAATGGTGGTGGGTAATTCACAGTTGGCTACATTTTCCTTACTCTTCAAATAAGTGTTCTAATGTGGTTCTCTATGCAGTGGCCAAGAACTAAATGCTGAGCCCTTCCTTTCATAGATCCTGTCTCTTATCCACAGGTGATCCAGGGTGTTCTGGAAAGAAATACGGATAACAAACTATATTTGATGGGGAAAGTAGGGACCAAACTGGATATCTTGCTAGAGAACATGGGAAGGCTCAGTTTTGGGTCTAACCACAGTGACTTCAAGGTGAGTTAGTTTTGTTTCCCAGTACACTTATTGACCAACTCCTGGAATGACCAGAGTCTAACGGAAGGTAAGGTACAGCCAGGTCTTTAAGAGTCAGAGAAATAGTGGCTTGTGGGGACCTGAATTTGGCCACTAGTTACATCCTAGAGCTTGATTAGGGACAGTAAATAAATTTACAGGCTTAGTAAATAATGACTTTTCCTTTGCCTCCCACAGGGCCTGTTAGAGCCACCAATTCTGGGGCAAACAATCCTTACCCAGTGGATGATTTTCCCTCTGAAAGTAGATCATTTTGTAAAGTGGTGGTATACGTTCAAGTTGCCAAAAAGACCACAGCCTAAAGATCCTTCTGGCCCCACCTTCTACTCCACAATGTTTCCAATTTTAGGCTCAGCTGGGGACACATTTCTCTATCTACCTGGATGGACAAAGGTATTACTAATGGTGGTGGTTGGTGGAGGATGTCTTTCCCAATATCACCCAACCAGACCCTAAAGAAAAACTATGAAAGGAGGGGGAGCAGAAATTATTATTTTGATGAGAAACCCCAAAGAGGATGATTCTATCCCTTGGAGAGCTGATCTTTGCTTTTCTCACTCTCTTATTGCCAAACAGGGCCAAGTCTGGATCAATGGGTTTAATTTGGGCCGGTACTGGACAAAGTTGGGGCCACAACACACCCTCTACGTGCCAAGACCCCTGCTGTTACCTAGGGGAGCTGTCAACACAATCACCTTGCTGGAGCTAGAAAACGTCCCTTTACAGCCCCAAATCCAGTTCTTGGATAGGCCTATCCTTAACAGCACTGTACACAGGACACTTTCCCTCTCACCTGATGTACAAAATGACTTTGAACTAATGGAGTTAAGTGGGCACTGAAAGAAAGATAACTCTTGGACCTGGGACATGGAGTGGGCAGAATCCTTTGGTGCTGGCCATGGTAACCAAAGGCCAGAAGGCCTCTGAATGTAAGTACAAGTACAGTTTTCTTGCCAAACTTTTTATTAAAATTCCAGAGACAGTACCAGCTCCATACACTTCTGTGACCCTATCTTTGCCCTGGTTCCTGAGTATCCCTCACCCTATTCTTCCAAATACTCTCTGGCTTCATGGGGAAGAAGAAACCTAGGGCTGGAGTCAATATGCCCTCTCAGGGCCTACATTTGGCCCAGGTGAAGCTGTAGGAGGTCAGGAAGAGGGCTTCCCAGCCTGACAGCGATGGTCCTGGAGGCAACGTGTGGAGCAGAAAGTGAAGTCAAGGTAATGAAAGGGAATGAGACCTTGGAGGGAAGTCCCACAACTCCAGCAGCGTCTGAACAAGAGGAAGAAAAATGGCAGGACAGGTTCCCCAGAAACTTTCCACTCCAAGCTTTTTGCAACTCTCAGAGGTTCCCAGAGTATCTCAAATCCCCTCAGCAACCCCTCTGAAAACCATGTAGACCATCATTCCACTTGCCCCAAATAGTCCCTACAACATTAGAGTCCACTCTGACTCAAACCCTAGCCCCATACCGAGCATTGATAACTCCAGAGTCAGGGATTGGAGGAGAAGGGGCTCCCAATTGGGCAGCAAATCGGCGCTCTGCAGCCAGAGCTCTCTGAAAAACACAAAGTCACATTGCAAACAAGACCCAGCAGTGAACAGCATGCCTGAGAAACAAGAGCTGCACTATGCTCTAAGGAAGTCTCGCTATAGAAGAGCCTGGCCTCACCTTCTCTCTGTCACTGAGGGCAGCAAACCTCCACTGCTCTTCTTGCTCTCGCTCTTCCTGCTCTCGCTGCTTCCGCTGCTGTTCCTCCCGTTGCCGCCGGGCTGCCTTCTGCTCCCTTTTCCGTGTGGCCTGCTGTGCCTCCATTTCTGGTGTCAGTGGCCCTGGTACCTGGGGGATTTTCCAGAAGATATTAAGTAAGACCCACAAAAGCTATCCTTGGTTAAAAGTGCAAAGGAGTAGAAAGGACCTGGCTAGGACCTATGACACCTTCCCACTCTGCATCTCCTTCTTCTAGCTGACCTGAGCCTTTTTGTAATCATAGGCATCTGGATTCTTCTCCATGAACCTTCGGAACTCATTACGTGTTGATCTGTCAGCTGCTACCATATAAGGCGGGCGGGCTTGGGAGTCCCTATGTACAAAAAACCACAAAATGGGTTCAACTTGCCTCCTGTCTTTCTCAATATCACCCAACCAGACTCTAAGGTTATATTGTCAACTAAAGAATGCAACATGAGCCACCAAATTATCTTCTCTATACCCAAAATGGCTCAGAGTAGAGACACTTACTGCACAGTGGGGTTGCAACCTGCCTCCAGCAGCAGATGAACCACTGAGCCTCTTCCAGCTGCAGCTGCTGCATGCAGGAGAGTGAAGCCACCAGAGCCCAAGGGGGCATTGAGTAAGGACCTAACTCTAGGGTCTGTAGGCTCAGCAGCTAGCTGGAGCTTCAGCATTCCAATGTCTCCAGCTCGGCAAGCAGCTAGAAGCACATTCCATAGCTCTGGCTGATCAGGGGTCTTGGCCTTATCCACCAAAGGCCTCAAGGGGGCTTCAACTGTCTGGTCTGAGAGAGAGAGGGGCTCATTTTCTTGAGGTTTCTGGAGAAGAGTTGTATGTGCCCCAGTCTTCTGGTCTCGACTTCTCTCTTTATTCCGTTTTCTTCTTCTCCGCTTAGGCAATACTTCAAACTCTCGAAGATCCAGTGTCTCCCGAGTTAATTCCACTAGCTCCAATTCTACCCGGGAGCCATCTTCTCCCTCTGACCCTGAACCTAGGGAGAAATATGACAGGTTAGATCCATCTAAGGATAAGCAGAGAGTGAGCTGGTTCAGATGCATTTATGTCTATAAAGAAATGATCCAGACTGTCCTAAAATGAAATTTCTATCTTGTCCCGGAACTATTCCTATGAGCAGTCCTAGGATTGTGCACAGAAGAAAACATGGCAGCAATCCTTGCCCCAAACCAGCAGCATCCAGCCAGGCAGACAAATAATGTGAGACTTGTGCAACACACTGAAATATCTACTCCATGATAAGATTTTCTAAGTACCAGGGATATATATCCATGAACAAAAGAGATAACAGGAGATCTGGAAAAGTCAAGTAAACATGCCACAGTGATTGCTATGACACACCTTACTTTATACAGATACTGGGGTGTATATGGATAGGTATATGTGGTGTAAAAACCGGAGATGGGTCAATTAAAAGTGATTTTGCCACTGTATTTCAAAGACAGACACACAAATAGACTTGATAACTGCCAGATGGTACCTATACCCTGGTTGGATAATTCCTCCATCTTCCCTAGTGCCTCATTTTCATCACTGGGGACCTTTCTTCTTTCTTCCTCAGCAGCCTTCTTCCTCTCCTCTTTCACAGTCTTCCAGTATTTCTGAGGTGAGTACAATCTGATTGTCTCCTGAGGGTTGTCTTCTGCCATAAAACACAAAATCTTTCTCAAACTTAGTTGAGGAAAAGCCAGCCCAGGTTTCTCAATGAAAACATACCTGGGCTATAGTTCCAGGGTTAGAAAAATCCTCTGGATGCCCACAAGAGAACCAAGGCTTGAGCTGTAGAGTACTGAAAGGTCTAAGAAGCCTAAAGATTGGAACTGGAGGCTTACCATAGACATGCAAGGTGGTCAGCTTAAGAAACACACGCTGGACCTCATGGAATGTGGGTCTGCGGGTGGTGAGGGGGATAACCCAAAGTCGGGGATCCTCCCTCTGCAGAGGTGCCCCATGGCCTCCAAAGAAGAAGGAACGGCCAGAGCGGGGGGCACGCAGCAGGATTGTCTCAGCCTCCTCAAGTGCCTTGGCCCAGGCTGGCCCTGCCAGCAGATCCCGAACATCCTAGAGAAGAGAGTAACTCCACTTGGCCTATATTCACTTACTATTTTTAAATCTTCATCCAAAGATTTAAAAAGGAGGAAGAACTAAGGTTCCTGGAGACCCTTATTCTATTTTGTCTAACCAGAAATAATGAAAACTGGAAGGATATGAGAATCCCAAACCTCTCTACTGTAACATTTAGCAAGTTGAAATGAGAAGCAAAAAGAGTGATTAGTGGACCAACAAATCTGGGAGGTCTAAACTCACTGTATACAGTGTGGCTTCATTGTAGCGCCTCAGATTGGCTCCAGCAGAGCGTGTTGGCCCACCCTGGGCATCTCGAAGCCCCTGGGCTGTGCCCCGCTTGGCCCGCACGGTGTAGCGGTGAAAGGTTTTGTGTATCACCACTTCTTTTCTGTAGACAGCATAGACTCAGTACTGGAGAACAGCTGGTGCTCCCAGGTTAGCAGGATCTATTCCAGCCTTGCCCCATGCAGCACCCTCACCCTTGAAAAATGGCACCAGCAAAGTGCCCAGCTGCAGCCAGGAGCACCACGCAGCACCTGGGACCTCCATTTTGCAGGTTCTGTAACAGCAGTTCTGCCTCTTCTGGGGGAACCTGCATGATATATGAAGCAGAACACAGTTTTATTCATCAAGGACAAGAAACCAAATGCTAATGCTAAGTGCTTCACAATAAATTATTACCTCATTTATTACAACCACCTTGAGCCTTGTTTCCATTTTATAAAGAAGGACATCTCAAGTTTGGAGAGGTAGTGGTAGATATACCACTTGGATAAGTGGTATATCCACAATTCAAACAGACTGATCTGTTTCCAAACTGAATTCTATAATACTTGACCCTAGCACAATTCAGGCCAGTTTCAATTAAAGACTGCTGTCCATGTGATACCCAAGCCCAAAAAGAAGGATGTGGGAAGAAGTGATACACTAACCAGCTAAGGAGAAAACTAAGCTGAGCATACAAAAAGTTGGGGTTGACCACATAACTTGTGCAGACACTTGCCTTGTGAGGGCCTAGAACACAACGGTAGGCATAAAGAAATTGGCCATGGGCATTTTGGAAAAGAACTCGATGGGCATGGAAGCCTGGGGATTGGTTGGGCTTCTCAAATTCAGCCCTCTCCTTGCTCAGTGTCTGCAAGTCCTCTTCGCTATCTGAATCTTCTGATCCTGAGATGCTGGAAAGATCTCCTAAAGACAGACAACATGGGACATAAAAGTTTGGTACCCCATTTCTAACCTTTCTTCAAACTCCTTATGGCCTTCTTACACCCCATGTCCTGCTCCCACCAGGCATCACCTGTGGAGCTCTGCTTTTCAAAGTCCAGGGCAGACAGGAGAGGCTTGTTCTTGAGACGTTGCTTTAGGTTAAAGCGATGCCAGTCAAGCTTATAATGTTCTCTCTGGTACAAAGGCAAAACGGGAGGCAGGTGGTAGAACATGGCCCAGCCTGGCCCTATGTACTAGCCAAGACCACTCATGAAACTCCAGAAGTGGGACCAGGTAACACCAACTGCTTTAGTGGTAAAGCACAGACCTTTAATAACTTAAGGCAAATCAAATGTCTACTTCTCCCCCCCCCCCCCACCTCTACTTTTGTTCCTAACATCCAGCCCTATATCCTGGCTTTTACCTGTTCCTGGTGGTTCTGGAAGGTCTGGTCACAGGATGAACAAAATAATTTCTCTGAAATATCCACAGGACCATGGAGTCCTTTTCTTTCTGGGCTTGTTCTCTCCCCTGAACCTAAATAAGGGAAGGGTAATTGAACTTCTAAGGGGCTCAAATTCATAATGCCTGGATTTAGTCAATATCTGATATCCCAACAGTAAGACACAAAAGAAAGAGATGGGCACACGCCTGTAATCCCAGCAGCTTGGGAGGCTGAGGCAGGAGGATTGCAGGTTCATAGCCAGCCTCAGCAACTTGACAAGGCCCTGAGAAACTCAGCAAGACCCTATCTCAAAATAAAATGTAAAAAAGGGCTAGGGATGTAACTCAGTGGTAACACCACCCCCCCACCCCCCCCTTCAATCCCTAGTACAAAAAAAAAAAAAGATGGTATGACTTTGCCTTCAAAATATTTACAATCTAATAATCATGAAATCAGTTTATACAATCAATAGGCTTCTAAAAAATTCAATAAAATAAATATGTCAAACGTTGT